TTGCCAGACTCACTGCGCAATTGACCAGAACACAATGCATCCTGGGATATTGAGGCTGCACTAATGTCCTCCAAACATGGGTAAAAGAACGCAGAATCTGTGCTTTTTGCCTGGTTATGGTGGTTTTGGTGAAGGAATCACTCCTGAATTAGATTCTCCTTCTTGTAGACTTGCTGTGAAAAGTGTGGGTCCTTGGATCACCCACAGGATAGGAGAACTGTTCCATGTCTCTGGGTGTTGAAAGGAGAAAATGGAAATTGGTAGGAATAACCTGTAAGTTGTTTTGTACACTGCAGACTTGTCAACATGATGTATGACAGCATTTGAAACAAGTTCCTTCAAGTTGCTGCATAACATCAGGGCACTCACCACTGGTGTGTCTTTTTCAAACGGTTTGACTTCCGCATGTCTCTTTTCAAGTTTTTGAAGAGGCACATTCAGGTGCAACACGGTTGGCTGTGATTGGTGCGCGGTGGCTCATAAACCCGTAATTGCGTCTGACATTTTAGCAAGAGTTTAATACTTGTACTTCCTTTTATTTCCCCTGTGATCTGAAGGCTTGATTTACTTTTCCCTCAAATCTGGTGTCAGAGAGGTGTCTCTGCAGTTCAGTAAAGGTTTCTGATGCCTAACAGATATAAGCCTGTTTATTTACAACCTGCTCGTGCATTTCACCACACTGTTTTCTAAAAACAAATGGCGTAAGACACAACTTCTGTTTTTTGCTTCCATGGTTGACTGCTAGGTTTTGATATTCTAATAGGTTTTCGTTGGAGGTTTCCTGTTCATGTAAACCCCTTATTTTAAGGTTCAAACGTGAATCTATCTTTAGATTCATTTACAGTGTCAGATAGGGAAGTAAAATGTGCTGTTCTAGTACATACAGTATGTATTATGTTGGTAAAGTTAAGTTTTCTGGAAATCAATTGAGGAAGAGATTAAAATAACCAGATTGGTGTGTGTTTTTGGCTAATTGAAAACCTGATGTGAAAGTAATACAAATTGAACCCTATATAAGTCCAATCATGATCAGTGTAACATTGCTGGCAATGGCCTAATACATTTAGAGATATACAAGCGATTGTCAACTTGGTAGAAACAATCACACACATCACATCACCTGACCTCATGGTATATTTGTTAAGTTGTGTCACTTGTGCAGACATGTGCATCATATTGAAAAAGCCTAAATTAAATCATGAGCTGTGTCTCCTATTTTGGGCAAACTGTGTAGGATACATGAGAAAGAAATAGATTTCTCAAATCCATTACAATACCAACTTATTAGCACAAAAGATGTATAATGCTGAAAAGCACTACAGATTTCTGTTGCCAACGCTTTAGAGCATAACTGGATTAGTCAAGTAATTGCTTTATCAGTTAGTTTATTAATTAGCCCCGTATTGCTATTCATAACAAAAGTGTTTGAGATCAATAGCAGTACGGAATTGCAAGGCTGTCAGATGTTGCATGGCAGAACTAAAATGATGACAAAATAACATGGAGGTCTACTTTTGGCTCACAGTTATTTAAATTCAAGGCTATAAATAATTCATGCTACTGTAGTTTGGCTTTTCACATGACACAAGCCATGTGTCATTGTCTGGTTCTGCAAAATAATGGACAGTTAAAAATATCTGCATTTCAGCCCTAAAGGTAGTTTACTGTTTAATTGATCTTGCTGTGTAAAAGAGGCCCTTGTCTACTTATGTGTGTATGTTCCAGGAAACTGCACAGCTGTATAAGTCATAAAGTTAATGCTGCGTTGCCTATTAGAAAGTAAACTAGTTGCTATAAAACGATTCAGATCAATGTTGTCAAGCATTTTTCTTCCAGGTTGGAAAATACGGGAAAAACAGCATATTTGTGCCACTCAGTGCCTCTTTCAAAGCATATTCAATTAAAAATTGGCTATGCGGGTTTTCAACACACAAGTTGCCATTTTGAATCCTTAAAACGCAGGTGAGCCAATGGGTGACAAAATGTCTGTGAATACTCTCTATTAACAGACTTTGGTCTGTATTTAGGAAGTCATTTTTAATTTTACTGCTCATGTCACTCAAACTGCAGCACAAAGGCGACAGAGCCCATCTTCCTGTCTCTTCCAATCAGATGTTCTCATTAGTAACAGCAGTGGGCCAACTATGAAACAGACTGATTGTGTGCACTCTATTCAAACTTCCACCAGCTTAACAAGCATGCAACGGCTTGTTTCCTGACTGTTTTTTCTCACCCTCTCTTACCTCTTTTAGTTCCTTAATTAATCTGTGATTTGATTACCTCTGATTTGTAAGGGTGACAACAGGATATGACTTGTTTACTCTGCATCCGCTTCCTCCCTCTCCCTGCCTGTGTCCCATGATGACGTTTCTCCTTTATCCTTACTTCTTGTTTTCCTCCTCCTCCTCCTCTCTTTTATACCCAAGACCACACACACCAGCAGACTGACAGACAGCCCTCAGGTTGACTGCAACTGACCCTACATTTAGAAATGAGGACAAAGGTGTGCAACGAAGCACCCAAAATAAATAGAATGTGACTGATGGCAGCGACCGTCACGCTCAATGCGCAGACAGTAAGGACGAGGACTGGAGAGGAAATGAGAGGAGCCCTCTCAGAGGAAAGCCAGAGCCATCTGTTGTGAAAGAGTTGTGCCATTGAAATCAGCAAGGCTTCAGCGATCAACTCCGTAACAACAGCTATTTTATGTCAAATACCTTTATCTGTGATTAGGAAGTTGTGTTGTAGGAAACAGATTTTTTCTTTTGTCCTTTGAAACACACGAATGATTCAGCTAATAGAAGTAACTGGTAAAGACAGCAAATTAAGGAGGTTTGTAATTTTCTCCATTCATGACTCTCAGCCCAGTTGAGTGGTTGTCATGTCAGTTGTGTACACTGCCAACACATACAAAGACAAGACAGCTTGTTCCACCATACTGGCATTCTCTACTCCAATGCTAGCACATTGTACAGAATCAATGTTTATTAAAGATACTAGCCACCATTGACCACCATGTTATATATTCACTAGTACCAATAATTACACTGTAGAATAAAATAAAATAAAATTCCTGTCAGATCTATGTAGAAATTCATGAAATTCATACATGTCCTCAATTTTTTGAATTACGTCATGACAGCCAGGGAGTTGGTTGACAATATTAGAAATAAAAGCAAGTCAATACTGTACTTATATTAATCAGGAAACACAACTCCAAATGGATGTGAACAATATCTAGGATTAGCTCCACCAGTTTATAATGACTCTCTGTTGCTTCACAGTTACCTTGGATGCCCAAAATTCATAAAATAGGTGTACAATTTGTAATTTCTACTTGGAAGTTTAATATTTGATATTCCTGTATGAGTTGCAAGATGTACAGACATTTTTATATTAAACTTTTTATAATAGTCCCATGTCAGTTGATGGAGCCCCCTAGCTAGTCTGCTGCTACCTCGACAGCCTCATAGCATGGCAGCTTTGGAGTCAGTGAATCATTTTATAATGTGTCCTGGATTACACAATATTTTCTCTACAAGGATTCCCATATGAAAAATAAAGTCTCAGCCTGGGACTTGGGGTCATGGAAACATTGTGTTACTCTCTGTGTGTGGATATCCACCAGTAAATGGCACATGTATTTTTTTCTGTACTCTTTACAAGCTATTTGATTAACACATTTGCATCCCTCTCTGCCCTTTTCCTCAGGTCGAGCAAAACTATGAATCTCTGCTCAAAATGTTTTGCAGGTACGTTTTTTTCCTCTCTCTGTGCTTGTTTGGTCCAGTGATATTGTGTGTAACATAGAACTGTGTGAGTTTACTCTACAGATTGTTTTGAAATAGTTTTAAAGGTCCTATGGGTAGGATTTACTGGCATGTAGCGGTGTAGTTGCAGATAACAACCCTCTCGTCCCACCTTCCTGTTCCAAGCATGTAGGAGGAACTATAGTGGGCTGTGAAAAGGCCCTGTCTAGACTCAGTGTTTGGTTTATCCATTCTGGTCTACCGTAGAAACATGGCAACCAGCTTCCATGAAAGATTTGCTCATTTGCTTGACAACCACGAAGCAGTAACTATATTTGCTGCCTTTTGTCACCAGGAAGGTGAGGCATTTGTCCTTCCTAATTCAATAATTTCCCTCTGGGATTATTAAAGTATTTCTGAATCTGAATCTGAATTCTGAATACTAGAAACCTTCAGGTGTGGCACTTTTGCTTAGGTCATCAGACTGCTTTGTCCCTTTTCACTCAGGCTATAATTCATCCTCTGACAAAATCAGTGCCGGAGATATGATGAGAAAAATGTCCGTTTATGTAAGCTTTCATCAGAACTGTGTCAGGGTTCCACCGTTTCTAAGTGAAATGGAGTATTATCCACAGATGCATGCAACTTTACCCTATCCCACTGATGCTTGGCCTTTTGCCCAAGTTAACAACCACTTCTTACTCCAAAGATGATACCTCTCACCATTTGACTTCACAGACATTCAGAAGAAACAGCCAGACGATGATTGTGCCCCAAAGGCCTCCTCAAGCTCCAGCAGCAGCCAAGCAGACATCTTCTGTAATGAAACAAACAGCAGCATTAGTCAGTCACTGATTTCGATGCCTAACACATCAGAGGACACTTCGCCAGGGGAGACGGGAGTGTCATCTCTACCTGCTCAGGACGGTAAGGCAGCAGTTAATCAGTCAGAAACTAATATTATCAGGTTTTCTTTTCAGCTCCAATGGTATTGGGTTAGGACCACTTTATTATTTTAGATTAGTGACTTTAAGCCATAATTTGTTGGCAAATGAACCATGGCCCCATTTTACTTTGAGCCTATGAAGAGTGGAGCACTCCCACTCTAAAGTGAAGAACGTAAAGGCTATTTAATGTGTTTTAATGCACAAGCGCTAACATTAGTGGTCAAAACCACTACAGAGTATTGTAGTTTTTAGTCCAGGGCATCTTTTGGTAAAAGTCTACTTTCTGCCAACCGAAGCAGCAGCTGCAGTGCCCCTGCCCTGGCTATATTTGTCCTCATGGCACAGATAAAGAGAATGATAGGAAAGGGTATCCATTCAGAAGTGAAGGTTTTAAGAGGACACCGACAATTGCGCAAGCATCGGTCATCGCTGTACAGTGACAAGGTTGTTTGTGGAGGCCAATGCAGGACAGGACAATAAAGTGGCTACCAAATAAATTTGTGGAACTTGTGAATTCCTCACACTAACCTACTCTTTTGGTAAAGCAGGAACTTTTAAGTAGTACATGATTATTGTGGATTTTTAGATTTAAAAAAAAAAAAAAAAGAGCCTCTAATAGAACTGGCTTGTAATTCACCCACAAACTCATTTGTTCATGTTGGCTCATTTATGCAGTTCCACTTGTCCAACATCTAAGCTCTGTTAGGAACAGTATAAAATGAATGACTGAATACCTATTAGCTGTACTTTGAGACTGATGCTAAAATATTACATCTAACGTATTACTAGAGCTAGAAATCATTACAGGACTCCGATCTGCAACTTCTATGCATTAATATCATTAAGAGTGAGTAATTAATACCACTTTATTACCTAAGGAAATGTTTAATGTAGGGAAATCCCAGGCGTGATATTTAAGTTGTAATTAACATGCAATAGTCGTTGCTATATATAGTTCAGAAGGTGAAGTCTGTACAGTTGACTCTGTTGCACTTCAAGTGTTACATTTTTTTAACCAACTTTTACAACAGGATCAGGTGATATGTCTTTTATCTTTTTCCACCCACAGTCAGCTGCCTCTTGGCTGGCTTCAGTCTGCACACATGCACACCGCAGTCTCTCCTTCACAGATATCTATCATAGTCTCTGTAAAAAAATAAATAAAATAAAGCTCACAGCATAATAAAGGATTCCACACGCCCCAGTCACAGTCTTTTCATCCTGCTGGGGGAAACAGTACCGTGGTATCCGGGCAACCATCAGACGACTCTCTCTCAGCTCCTTAGGCTGTTACGATTATAAACTGTTCTTTTCAAGGCAACCTAACACATGACCTAATCTGTCAATCAGTTGCATTTTTCCAATTTTTTACACGGTTGTTTGGCTTCTATATTTGGTCTGTCTATTTTTATAGTGTGTACGTGTAAAGGGGTGTGCCTGTGCCTGATTGTGTATGTGTTGTATGAGTTTAAGTATTTATTTTACTTTGTTTGCAATTGTATTCTCTTTCTTAAATCATGTATTTGTCGGTTCTAAATCAATATATACAGGAGACATTTTATTGTTTTTTACAATTAAAATAAAGTCTTACAAATGAGAAACTAATGTCCTTATTTCCTCTCTGTTATTGGATATACCTTTCTCATCTTCTCTCTTTTTCTCGCTATATTGCTCTTTCAGAAGTATCCAGCACAGACGCGGTCTTCAGTTCTCTCTCCACTCCCACCAAACGCTCCTTTGAGTTAGGTATGCCTCAGCTTTACCATTACAATGTCCATTATTGTATTTTGCACTGTGTGCTTGTCATGTCCACTTAAGGCATTGGAGTGGAGAACCCAGTAGCATCAATGGCACTGGATTGATTCCAAAATGACCAGGTTAATTGTTCTTCCAGTGGAAACAACAGAAGGATGGATCATGGGGACGTAATAGAGGGTATCTGCCAGAGTGTGCAAATATAAAGCCAATCAAGCGGTTACTAGAGTGAATGCAGGCTACGAATATATATACATATGAAGTAGGTACACAGAATAATAAACTAGACATTAGATAAAGATTATAAAATTGTAAAGGTCACACAGGAGGGAGTGTTGTAGCTCAGTGGGTTAGCACCGTCACATCACAACAATAAGGTCTCATGATTCCACGAGTTAAAGAAATAGACTTGAATTATTTAAAGATGAAATGGGTCACAATGAAACATTTCTTACAGAATTGAAACATGTGCATGCACAGAGCTGTTGCTCACTATAGCGTTATTAGATTTATTTATTAAAATAAATTAATCAAGGCGGATGTCTAAAACGCTGCAGACTTTCTTCTAGTGTGGATTTCCCCTCATTGTGCTTTCACCCTTAGGTGCCACAACCTGCTGCACTCACACATGTGAACACTCGCACATGACTTAAGACAACTGCAGAGTAGGCAAGGCTCAGCACTGGTGTGTGAACATGTTGATCCCTTGTCTAATGCAGCGGGATCATGTGAGCACACACGCACACACAGCATCATTTAAACCTTGTGCTGAGTTAACATTTGCACTTACAGTCTCTCTTAATAGGGCCTTATGCATTTTAGTTTAAACCCTGGATACACTTTGGCTTGAGTAGTCTTTCATGCAACCTATTAAGCTCTCAAATCAGTTCATAGTGCAGATGTCTTGCCTTCAAATGTCTTTTTCTTTGTTGTTAAATCACATTTAAATTTGACGCATTAGCCGGTGTAAATCAGCCACAGAGATTTTAACCAGGATAACAAAAGGCACACAAAGAGGAAACGTTTTTTTTTTTTTTTTTCACAGTGTGCTATTGCACATGAACAGACACACATACTCTCGCAGATATAGGGATCGATGTCGCAGGCTAGGGGGATCTGGCTGCTCAGCTTGGCCTAGTTCTCAGAGATTTATTGAGCGCCGATCAGCATTCGGCCAGACCAGAGAAAAAGTCTGCAGGATTGATGAGAAAAGCTGAGTTGAAATTCCAGCCGACCAGTGGAACTCGCTACATGCTCTTCCTGTCTCAGGTGCTGGGTTGACTGTAATCTAATGCAGTAGAACTATTAATCTCCAAAGCGCCTATTATATTTAAGAGGCATTTTGTTCCAGTGTGCCATCGTCTGTTCTCTCCCAGTTGCAGGCCACACTAAATCAGAGATGATGTCTTTATGTGTTAAATGAAAGTTGTTATGGAGCTTATTATTGGAGGTCCTAAGTTTTCTCTTGAAATTCTAGTTGAAGCTGCTGCCCTGGACACCCTGGAAAAGTAATGCTTTTTGAATTATTATGTGGGTAGGGGAGTATTAAAAAGTGGAGAAGGTCTGACTGCAAGTATATTGGTAGATTAATTATTTAAAACCATTTCTAGCAGGTCGATTAACCTTCACATGCTTTTGTATCTGACCACAACAGAAAACAGATTTCTTCGCAGCTATGTATTTGCCTTTTTTGCAATTATTAGTATAGTATTATAGAATGAACATTTTGGATCATACAACCTCACGTGGGGCATTTTCAAATCTCTACAGCAGACATTCTGCTCCGCATAAAAATGTAACGTTGCAATTGTACCATTGGTCAATTGATTTCCAAGAAATTACCTTTTGTTGAACAGCAGATTATAGACAGATAGAATAGAGGTATGTAATTACATTGTATAGACAAGTTTTAGGGCAAATATGTCTAATACCAACTGTTTGTCAGCTGCTAACAGCACATCCAGGAGCTTTTGTGAAAAAGACCAAAAATCTCAATATAAATGTTTATACGATCTTATTATTTATGGAGTTATGTTATGGAGCATAGCGAACATAGCTAATAGCCTTTTTTTCTCCTGTGTGCGTGTGCTTATTTGTGTGTCCAGCCTCAGAGTCAGAAAGCGATGTTTCCCCTGAGAAGCGAGCAAGAGTGGGTGAGGTACCAGAGGGCGAGGAGTCTTCATCGTCATCATCATCTTTCTCCGCATCATCATCATCATCCTCATCTCGCAGCGGCTCTAAACAGCGGAGCCGCAAACGTTGCCATCGCTGCCAAACCAAACTGGAGCTGGTACAGCAAGAGCTGGGTTCCTGTCGCTGTGGTATGACCATTCCACTTTATATATGCATAAACCAACATTAGAACATGTCTTAATTAAAACACATGCACAGGCCCACTCACACGCAAGAGAAAACGCAATAAGCAGTGGTAGCTATTATTAAAGACGTCAGTTGTGTGTCTCACATGTGCATGAGGTAATACATGACTTTTTCAGAGGTTTATTTGGCCTTATAAATACATAAATACGTGTCGGTTAACTTGGCCACAGTTTTGTGAATTTTACATCCGGTGTAGTGAAATGCATCTACTACCTTTGCGTGTGTTTGTGTGTTGACGGAAATGTCGATGACCAGAGTGCTTTTGCTAGCCTCAGGGGACCATTACAGAAAACCTCAATGTTTCACATTGCACATAAAACATAAGCCAATTACCACGAACACTAATGCAGTTTAAACCAATACTTGGCCTGCTAATCAACTTGTTTGCATACAAATTAAAGTACTTAAAAAGTCACAGCTCTTCACTGCTTAAAGACCATCTGCTTAACCCACGCAATCATTTCTAAATTGGAAATTGACTTTCCTTTTTTTCCACCAGGCTCTGTTTAATGCATGGGCCATCCATCCTTAATAGTCCAATGCTTACTATAAAAACATGCTTTTTACAGACTGAAGGGGAAATGGTGGCAATTATAGTGATTTCTCACTATTGCAGTAATTGCAGATTACTTTGCTAATGGTTCTGCAGAATGTCTCGCAGTGTAAGCCAAGAAGGTCTGATAATGAGCTGAAAGCATGAAGGCTTTTCAGTTTGTAAATGGGGGGAAAAGATAGCTCCAGCGGAGTATCTGATCCAATGTTGTCACACTCAGTAGACTTCTGCTGTTACGCTGGGACTATAATATTCATCTGACTAGTTGTCAGTGACGCAGAGTAAAAGCAGTGGAACTTAAAAAAGCCAATTAAATCATACAGGTTCTGATCTGATGTGGAGATCCAACAGAATCAGGACTTTATTCCTGCCTGGCACTTCCCCTTTCTTTTCACTTAAAAATGTCATTTATTGTTTAATAAATCAACCTACCTGTGTGGCTATAATTAACCAGTGGATAAGACCAAAGTTAAAATTGCACTACATAAATCAGCATTATCTGAATATTGATGTATTACAATATTTACTAAATGCTAAGAATTTGGTAAAAAGACACATAGGCCGTGTACATTAGAAGTGTAACTGCAACATTGTAAATGTTAATAGTTGAGGGTTTCTAAATTAAGATTAAGAAGATTCTTGAGATTTTTCTTTGGAATTCTCTGAGCTGATCAGGCTCCAATATGTGAAAATAAGATGTACAAATTACTGTAGGTTGAGTAAATAATAATAAATAATCATTCAGTCATACGGACATTATAATCACATAATGGCTGCAGTCCATTCGGCCTTGCCAGCATGCTGCATTTCTTGCAGCAGCAAGAATGGAGAAAACCACTTAAATAATTTGCCTATTACTGCCCTCACTATAATAACTGGTCATGTTTAAAGGATCTAGAATATTTCAGCTCACCCTGCTCTAATGAAATGTTTATTATTCATTTTTACCTCTTAGGTAGAATAAATATTTAGGACAGCTTGGATTTTATGCATTAAAAACTTTGAAAACTTGTAACATACTGTACTGCATTTGGAAATCACTAAATGTGTTTCCAGCTTATTTATATTTTAAAACCTGCTTTAAAGTTAAGTTACAAAACATCAGCAGTGAGCTTGGTGGACATTGTTTGATTTGGGGTTTTTAATGGCGGCATAACAAAAACACAGCTTGTTATACATAACCTTTTAAACTAGTGTAGCAAAAGACTCTCTTATTATCAGTGGGTGCGGTTAAATTTCAGAGAAATGGTGCAATTGGAATCTGTAGTAACCCACACAGATTCTTTTTTTAGGCGGGTAAACTTTTCAGCAAATGAATGAATGCAGGGATCATCATTTTTATTTGATAGAGTGATGTATATATGCTGTTGTACATAGTTTAAACTATCTTTCTTCAGTCCTGTACACTTGTACCGTGTCGCCAAGACAGTTTTCTGTGCTTTTATTCCAGTAAGCAACCGGAAGTAGTTGCCCCCCCCCTTCTGGTTATAAAGATTCAAATGTTACACATCGTTCTCTCTTCCACTCCATTCGTGTGTGCTGTAATCACATAGGTTTTAATTGCATAGCAACCAGCTGTCAAACTGAGCTTTTAATCACCGCTCATTGAATGCCAGCGGTGTTATTATGTGTATTAATGAATGAATTGAAGACGATGAGAGCTAACGAGCTTCTCTGAGCTTATCGTCCCTCCTACAGTGGCAGGGCCTTTTGTTGAAAGTGCTACAGTAGGGACAGAGAGTCAATGAGAGAGATGAGGGTTGTCTGCCTTTGCTGAATTGAGTCAAAAGAGGAAGCTATCAACTAGAATGTCTTCTCTGGTAACAAGACCTTTCACAATGAATGCCTGCAAAGCAGTAAATATCATCTGCCCGTGGCGATTTAAAAAGAAGACGTGTAAGGGGTTTCTAAGGTATTAACACGCAGTATTTGTTGCTGTTTATCTGCCCTTCTTGTAAAAAATGTTAGTGGTTTTATGTTAATGTTAGGCTGCATGTAGAGATGCATGCTTAATGTACTGTTTATATATCTACATTTGCTGAACTTGGCTGATTCACCACTCTCCCTCTCTTGCCCCCACCCCCTAGGTTATGTCTTCTGTATGCTCCACCGGCTCCCAGAGCAACACGAGTGTCTGTTTGACCACCTGGGCCGTGGTCGCCAGGAGGCTGTCCTAAAGATGGTCAAGCTCGACCGCAAGGTGGGCCGCTCATGCCAGCGCATCGGTGAGGAGTGCTCCTGAGCGGCTTTCCCCTCCGATGAATCTCGGTGTCTTAGCACCAACAGGGATTTGATTTGTTTTTTCTCTTCTTATTTTGATTCTCAAGATTTTTGCAGGTTTTTGGATACAAACCTCCACCCTTCTCTTTTAAATTATGCTCGCTCTTTTTTAAATCCCACTGTTAACCATGTCCCTGATTGTTTTCTGCTTGATCATATCCCTGCTGCTAAGATGCCTTTTGGAAAAATCCAAACCCAGGAATGACAGAACAATAAAGAGCAAAGGAAATATACAATTGGTTCACTTTTTTTGCAAGCTCCTGAGTACACATGTGTGAGCAGAGTAAGAACGAATGAAAGGATGAAGAGAAGAAATACAACGCTTTATAAGCCAGTTTAACTCTTTACCTCAAAAAAGAAAAAAAGAAAAAACAAAGAATGACGAGGAGGACGAGAAGGAAGAGGAAGGATTTGGTAACCCGTTGTGTACACTTCTGCTTTGGCACTGTTTATAGACTGTGCTCTTTACCTCAAAATCAGACAGACTGCTTTGTACTCTGCGCCGAGCATGGACTTGAAGCAAACCAAGCGAGCCAGCCTCAGTTTTAGTCAGTGTCTTACGCCCCTGGCCATCCACTACCCTTAATCCTAAAAACACAAACACCTGTTGTTGATCATCCACCTCAGGTTATCAGGACATCGAAGCCCAATCTTCACCCCCTTTTCCCACCAACTTGCATCCTTCTCTTTTCCTCCACAGGACACCTTTTTTGCTCCTGTATTTGTTTTAAGATTGTCCCGAAAGCGTTTCTGCTGTGTCGATGAGGCCGTTGTGGACGATGGAACTGGGGTTATGCTGGTGGGAGTGAGCTAGTTGTCCTTGGATTGTGCACAGATACGTCCTCAATGTTGGGATGTGATTGATCAAGACATAATTTGTTTGCGGATTTTCTCTGTCTTCCTATTCTCCACAGCCCTCCCACATGGGAATATGTCCTCCTCTTCACACCCATAAATCTCCTTTCAGCAATGGGTGGATTACATGTGCTGAATGTGTACAAACTTCAGGAAGACAACATTTTACGGGACATGACGTACACTAAAGTGTGCATAGGATTTATGACTGGACTCACTATGCTTTTGCAAATACACAGACTCTCACACTTTCGTGTTTAATGTGCTCAGCTGTTGGTTACATTGAGTACAAGCAGGCAAAAATCAAACATTGCTGTACACGTTGAGTTTGGACTGAAGCTGGTATGGCAGCGTGTCTCTGAGGGGTTCCTGTTTTAAGATTGGTGGTGGTTGTTATAGTTCAGGTTTCTCATAATGTCTTAGGCCTTCATTTCAACTATCTACATTTTTAAGGTAAATGTTTTGGTGCCAGCTTTGATATAAGACTTCATAATGTTTGGTTTTCACTCCTTTAACCAGTACTTTAATGTCCCTGCTTCCATCAATGCCCCATGTTTCCCTTTCCAGTTAGCATGATGAGCGCACATGCATTCTCCTCCTTCATCCTTTCACTTTCCTTTTCTCATCTTTCTCCTTATTGATTGCTCTATTTTTTCCTTGTTTCACCCGTTCTGCCCCCCCTCCTCCCTCCCCTCCTCCCTCTGTCTTTCTGTAGATGAGAGAGGTGGTGGTTGGGGTGAGCAGGGTGCTTAAAGTTTAAAATCAGCAAATAACTGCTTTCCAAACATTTTCCTGTGGAAGGAACGAAGTGAAAATGCATAATGAATGAATATTCTGTATCTTAAAGAAAACCTTATTTAACCCCTTTTTGCGTTTCACTTACACTCTAGTGTAGAGCTGCTTTTTTGGTTGTAATGTGGTTATAAAATGGGAAGATGGATGTGGAAAATTCAATATTTCTGTTTCCATTGCTTTACTTTTTGCTTCCCCTCTCCAACCTTTTCTTTTACTGAGAAAGAATAAACTGGATTAGACAAAGTGTGAACAACTGTAGTGTACTTATTGACATGATGAATGACAAGGTGACAAACTAAGTTTAGCTGTTTTATGTTTTTCCCCAGTCTAGTTTGATTGAGATGAACTTGTATACATATTTTGCATTATGTGTCTCTTTTAATGAATACATGTGTGAGGTTTGTTAAGAGCCGGTACCTTCTTGCAACATGTTGCTGGCTCTCCGCCATGTCCTAAAATCCTGCCATTTTTTTTATGGTGATATAAATGTCTGTTTACTGCTCACAGAGGGCTGCTATAAAGCTACTCTCATTTACTTAACAGATCTGTCTGAGTGTGTTTGTATGTGTGCGTGGTTGTGTGTGAACATGTTTGCTCGCTAATGGAGAATTTTAACTAAAGAGCCTTCTGATGGCAGCGAAGAGTCTTGTGGGCTGGCTGCACTAATTAATGTTGTGAAAAAAGAAAACATATGTAGCCATGATCAAAAGGCATCTTCAAACGTTGAAGTTGGCCGGCCGCCAGCCTGAGTGTAATCTTCCTCGCCTGAACTGAGCCAAAACTATGGAGGTTAGCACCTAAATGTAAAGTAGTTGTGATAGAAGTTTCTCCTTTGTCAAGGTGGTTGAAACTTTGAACAACCCTGCTGGGTTACAGACAGCGTTCAGCTCTCTTAAAACGTGTCCCGTCTGTCCTTGTGTAATTCTCATTTTACATCCCTTGTTGATTTTTGATTCAGTTTCTCAGCTTGGTGGACAGCACATTGGGTCGTCTGACATGCAGACTGTATCGTAGGAGATCTCCAACACTGACAAATTGGTATTTGTTTGATTAAAAAAAATATATACTTTGAATATATAATTGCTATTTAATCCATTTGGAGTTCCCTATGTTATGCTCTTATATGTACAAAAGCAGGCCATAAGTTGACATACAGTATAAGAACAGATTGTTTTCTGACAGTGACTCCCATTTACCAGTACAAATCTTCCTGCTTTTCCTTCTCATGAATTTGGCTGGAATACAATCTATAATGTTTTTTTTTCTTTTTTTAAATAATCTTTTAAGTCCCCCTCAGGCTTTTTAGAGCCCTCTCTTTGTTTTGTTTGTCAGTGTCTGTAGTGTATTGTGTTTTATGTTGTCTTGATTATATCCTGACACACAGGATGAAGCACAGTGCCAGGACTGGGTGGCAACAAGGAGCATGAGATCTGTATTTGCTGGAGGCTGCCTAGTGTTAGAGAGGGATTTGGGGGATAAGATGTTGTGGCCGGTGGTAAGTAATCTCCTTACAGCTCAACAAACAAGGAAGCCTGCCATTCTCAACGTCTTGATTGGCTAACATCAGTTATATACACCATCCTTGTATTGGATTTGGCTTTGTTAAATACTCTGTCTCTCTTGCTACCCTATATGTGCTTTCACATCTCCATTGTTATCACTTTCTCTCCTCACACCCACTCTCAAAGCCATCAGTTTGGACTGTAGTGTGAGTGAGCACAGGTAAGGAAAGCTCAGGCACCGGTTTAAATCAGACATTAGAGAAAGAATGATTTCAGATAAACAGTAAATGCAATGCAAGGTACCAATGCCCAAAGTAATCAAGGATCAGTTTCACTGTCATGGCAGCACTGGTGTTACCCATAATTATGAGAGTCACTTATTAGTCTTATTAAATCTGTTGAGCACATCAGAATGAAACTGTATGTAATTACGTCGGATACATTACATCAGACATGGAGACGATGGATAGCATACGTACTTTAGTAAAAGATTTTTAATGAGAGTATATGCGTCAAACCTGTCAAAAATATTAATTTAGCTATGAATATACTGAATACGTAAAAGGCTGCTTCACTTTGGTTGAATTTCATTGAATTTATTCTGGTGTATTATTGCAGACTGGAGAAGTAGAGAGAATTACAGTTGCAACGCAGCTACAGAGAAAATTAGTCATGCAATTAAAAGGAAACGTAGGTTGAAATTCTTGCTTAAATTATGTTAAAACCAGCAAGTTTTGGTGGAACGCCAGGTTACAATGAAAAGTTCTTATGTTAATCTCTCTTGCAGTCATTCCCTCTGTTCTTTATAATGGATAATGAGCTGTTGTGAAACCATATAAGTTCCCATACGTCGCCTAGATGTGAGTTGCCCTTTAGTTTGACATAACCTGAAGTTTCAGAAAACCTCTCAAAAGTTGTCTCAACCATTACAGAGGCTGATTAGAGAGTAATGTGAAAGGGGTCACGCATAGTGATGAACCCATAGCCACATATTTTATGTTCTGGTTCAAGAACCAGCAGTGCACTCTCACTGCTCTCATCAGTGTTGTTCCCATGGTGCAAGCAGCAGCTGTTTTTAAGCTCTGATTAAAAACCTTCTGTACATCACCTGCTGAGCACCACATGAAGTTAACAACTAACTAGTGAACGTAGCATAGCACATAGCAACAGCTCAAGTGCCAGA